TGCGGACTCCGCCGCCGGTGTGGCGCCGGCCACGGGCGGCAACACGGCCGACACAGGCCGCGCCGACTGCCCGAACCGCAGTACGCCGCCGCCGTGGTGCGCGATGACCTGCCGGGCGGCGTCGATTGTGCGGACTGCTGCCGACTGGGGCCGCTGACGTGGCGGCGGCAGGGGTTCCGGAGCCTGCAGCGCACTGAGGGCGCGGTCCCGCAGACTGGGGCCTAAGGCCTCCGGGCTAATCGCGCCGCGGCCAGCGCCGGCGGCCCGCGCCGCCTTCGGCGACACCCGCCCCACTTGCAGCACCGACGCCAGCTCCGGGTCCAGATAAATGCTTCCGTACGACTCCAATATGGCGTCGCGGTCGTGATAAGACGACCGATTCGCATGGGCTCGGTACCCGCCTCCGACAGCGGCGGTGGTGGCAGTGGCCGCCGTCCCGTCGCTGTCCTCCCCCTCCTCTTCGCGGCCCTCGGGGGTCGGAGGAAGCGCGTTGGGGTCCGGCGACATCGCTGCTATCGTCGACTGCGGCGTCAAGTAGTTACTGTGGAGTTGGGCGAATGCGGCCTTGCGACGGCGTGCCGCGGCGCTGACGGCGGCGGATACCAGGCTCGCGCGGGCCGGGTACACGGGCACGGATACGGTTTGGGGCAGCAGGTCAGCCGCAGCGGCAGCGACAGCGGCGGCTGCAGCGTCAAAGTACGGAGTGTGGTGCGGCAGAGGCAACGGCGGCGGCGGCGGTGGCGGCCGCTGCGGCCACGACGGCGACGGCTGCAGCAGCTCGTGTCCGCCCGTCAAGAAGGTTGTTGAGGAGGAGACCTGCGGTGGTGAAGGCCACAGCGGGTGGAAGAGGGAAGGAAACGGCACCCAAGCGGCGAACAGGCAACAGGCAAAACCATATAAGCCTCTTCAGTAGCATGTTCAACATCCTCCATTTTGAGAGGGGCACAGGTGAGGGTAGATGCATGCCAAGATCTCATAACCTCATGTTACGGCTAACGGTTCCCGTGCTAGCGAATGCGCGTCTGCACCACCGGAGCTCATCTCCCACACACCCCATCACCCCCACCCCGCCACCCCGCCACCCCGCCGCTCACCCCTCCGGTGCGGCGGCTCGACTTCGGTGACTCCCGCACACCCAGCGGATAGAACGTGACTCCGTCCACCACAACGGGTGGCGGCGGCGGCGCGGGGGGGCGAGATGCCGCTGCAGCGGAAGCGGGGCCGCCCGGGGGCCCCGCATCGGCGTCAGCGAATGTGACGGTGAGGCCGCCGCTGCCGCTGCCGGCCCCGTCAGCTGTGGCTGCGGCCGGTGTTGCCGTCGGCGGCGTGCCGTTGCGGAAGACGTACAATCGGTCGCTACCCAGCGCCGAGAGCTTGTCCAGTTGCTCCGAGACCAGCTCCTGGGAGGGCAAGCCGCCAGCCATGATGTTTTCGGGGCGTCTGGAGCGGGCCGATGCGGCACCAGTGGCGGCGGCCGCGGCGGCGGCAGGACCCGCGTCAGCATTGCTGTCCGCTGCCACAGCCGCCCGGCCGTCACCTTGCAGCAACTCAGCTCGCATTAAGTCCACAAAGGTGGATGCGATAAACGGCGCAGCAGCTTCGGCGCCAGCGGCGGCCGCCGCCGCCGCGTTGCCACTCTCCCT